ACAAAGAATGCTTATTTTTCCTCATCAGATGGTTATCAATTTTTATACATTCATATGATGTGATTTTCTGGAATTTTCTTTGGGATTCTGTCTTTCACTGTTAGAATGTACATATGATTAAAGTTATAGATCGTTGTATTCTTTGTAAGTGGGCAAACCTGCAAAATCAGCAAGGGGTCAAATACTTATTTCCCCCACTGTATATATATATATATATATATAAACATATATGTGTGTATGCTTGTTCCAGTTGTTATTCAAAATTATAACTATAGTTTCACCCAAATATATCTCAAATTGAATTATGGTTCCTTTCCATTCCTAAAACAACCAAAATAAATTCCCTAAATTGAAATTACAACAGAAAAAACCTTTTATATGGAGCTGACGAGCTATTTCTAAGGTTTGTTTTGGTGTAGTTTGGTTATTGTTTGGGGGAAAATGCTGAACGGGAAAGGAAAAGCTGTCTTCAATCAAGTGTTTAAAGCCACTCATCAGCTTTGTGATTCAGCCTCATATTCTCAGTGGTTTTATTAGAAAAATGAGTTTATTTTGAGGATATGAGTGTGTGTTTCAGATTTTGGCTGATGTTGATAGCTGGCATCACCTCAGAACAGAACATCCATGAACCAAAATAGAAGTCTGTAATGACTATTTTCAGATTTTGATAAAGGTAAATAAGCTTTTGATGAACCTCACTGTGTGAAACGGTCATTTCTAATGTTCCTTCTACACACTTTAGTCTGTCTTCTTTTCTTTTTAATCTTATTTTGGAAAAAAACAAACAATTCTACAGTGACTCTGGTTGAAAGAGGCAGAAACACTGCGATACTTTTCTCCTCCTGTCTTCCTATTGGTCATTTCTTGAGCTTGATGCTTTTGGCCTGACTAGCGTTTTGTTCTTAAAAGGTTAATATTCATGTTCAGTGTTTTGCATGTGATAAAATAGATGCATCAAACATACTTTTTTGACTGAAATGACAAATAAAATTCAGTGTAAAGTGCCGTTGTGACTGAAATGAAAAGTTAAATGAATTGTAAAGACACTTTTTGTGTGCCAGTTGTGATCTTTGATTAAATGAAGGATGATGCTTTTCTTTTAACCTTCAGTTTATCTAAATTTGGTTTTCCACAAAGCTCTCAAAGCTCCAGAAGGACCAAACTTTTCTGCATACATGTTCTGACTAAGGCTGATTTCATCCTTCCTGCAGAGTCTGAGCAGAAACGGGATCCCCTGTTTCTGCCTTAATTTGGGAAAAAACATCCAACAGGAATAAGGGCACATCAGCTAAAGCTAAGAGCTATAGTTCAAATGCAAAAAGATGCTAAAGCAAAGTCATTAAGTAAATAAGTAAAACAGCAGAAACAATAAACATCTCTCACTTTATGTGGAACTCCTTAATCTACTTAAGAAGATAAATGTCCACATTGAATTGCAGGAATTATTTTGCACATGTGTGCTTCCTGCTGATTGGTGGATGAGGTATTGATTCATCCCACCAATCACTGACCGTCCCACTGCCATGTGGACAAAAGGGACTCAGCTTTTAAGAAGCCACGACTTTAAAATCCCATGTTTTCACTAAAAGTTGAGCTGAAACTGAACCACACGTAAGCATTTAGGGGATAAACGACATCTGACTGTGGGGTTCTCCACCAAAACAGAGACACAGCTTTTGGTTGTTTTGCTAAATGTAAAGCTGTTGGACTCCTCTGATCCTCTCCAGAACATTAATATTCAAAGTCATGAGGTCTCTAACACTTATTCTGAAGCCTAAGAGGATGTTTGAGCCCTGAAAAATGGCTGAAACCCAGTAGGAGCACAGTCCTGGGGGCTGTAGATACCCAGGATGCCACCTGGTTGGAGATATGAACCTTTAATATCGTTTATATACAGTGGTGGAAATAAGTATTTGACCCCTTGCTGATTTTGCAGGTTTGCCCACTTACAAAGAATGCTTATTTTTCCTCATCAGATGGTTATCAATTTTTATAAATTCATAT